CCCGCGGCACATACGCTGGTTGGACTATCTGGAGTCCAACTTCACGTACAAGATCACGTACAAAAAAGGCGCAAACAATATTGCTGACGCCCTCTCCAGACCGTTTGCCCAACTCGCAGCAGTACTAGTCGCCCAAAGCAATCCAGCGAAACGACGCAGTATTGGTTGTCGTCGACCGATTGACAAAAATGGCGCATTTCGCACCATGTCGTACAACCATCACAGCCAAAGAAACCGCGCGAATATTCATCTCGACCGTTGTTCGCCTACACGGGTTACCAACAACAATTATCAGCGATCGAGATCCGAAGTTCACGTCGAAATTTTGGCAGGAAACATAGGCTCGGTACGACACGCGCCTAGAATTCTCATCCGCTTATCATCCCCAAACGGACGATCAGACTGAAAGGACAAACCAAACGATGGAGCAGCTGATTCGGACATACTGCCCCGACTGAAACAAATGGGAGGACGCGCTTCCCATGCTGGAATTCTCCTACAACAACGCGCCCCCAGCCACGACTAATCACTCCACGTTTTACCCCAATTACGGGATGGATCCCACAGTACCTATCTCCACCAATGCCGAGAGTCAAGTACCACGGTCGCAGCAGTTCGTCGAAGAATTACAGACTACCCGGGATAAAGCTGTCGAACTTATTCGCAAGATGAACGCTACTGCCTGACGGTATGCAGATTTACATCGACGGGATATTACGATGGCAGCAGGGCAACTAGTCCTTTTGGACACCAAGAATTTATGACTGCCACTACCGACGAAATTACGACCACGTTTCTGTGGCCCATTCAGGATATTGAAGATGGTCAACACCTTCGATACTTGTGAATTATTTGGCCTGCAAGCACGCGAATGATATAGATCACCTTCGCTAAAGGCGGGGTTGGTGTAAGGAATTTTCCATTCCTTACTGAGCGGTACTGCTATTGCGTACGCTCGAAGACACCCGAAGCCTCGGGACAGTTTCGGACCTTTCTGACAGAATCGCCTCGGCTTCTCCAAACCTTCTAGTTCGACCTTCGGGAGTTCTCCGGGCCTCGCTTCGTCACGTCGAGACCCTTCAATCTCTTTTCCTAACCTTCCCATCTCATGGCTAGACTAGCTCTGGTGTTCCTATATCTTGGCTTGCCATTCCTTGTATCGTCATTTTCAGTGATTGAACACTTCGTTATTCATTTCCGCGCTACTCTGCTTGTTCATTCATAACACAGTTTCACATATGAAACTATTGAAACTACTTCTAAGTTGGTGAAAATTACCAACCAAGCATGTGCTCTAATTTTCACCTGCCATTGCTGACTTGGATAGGCGCAACTTAGAGTAGTCATGTAAACGTTCTTGTGCTAACGTTCTCGCCATGTTCAATGAAGTTCAATATGGTAGTACTAGGATTGCGTCATGACCGCTGGTGGTAGGTGGTAACCCGGTGATGAAGTCCAGGCTAACCACTTGCCATGGTTGTTCTGGGACAGGAAGAGATTGTAGCAGACCCGCCTTTTTCTGCTTGCTGCTCTTCATCCGCTGACATGTATCACACGAGGTGACGAATTTTTGCACGTCATCTGCCATGTGGGGCCAGTAGTAGTGTTTGGCAATACCGGTGAGCGTCTTGTTGCTACCGAAGTGTCCGGCGTATAGGACGTCGTGGTATTCTTCGAGCATTAACTGGCGCAAAGGAGGGTAATTGGGTACCCAGGTTTTCGTTGATCCTTTCCGGTATGCGATGTCACTGTCCCACTTTAGCAGATGTTGTTTTTCAGCCAAGGGGATTTCTGGGTCAATGGCGTACCCGTGTGTGAAGAGTCCCTTGAGTAGTGGATTCATCCCTTCAATCTGAATAGCGGCAACGTGCGCAGGCCGGCTAAGAGCGTCTGCTTTGTTTTTGTGGCCGGGCTTGTACACGATGTCGTAGTGGAAGTGTGTCTCGAGGAAGTCGATCCACCGGACCTACCGCCTGGAAAGGTTGGATTGTGTCTTCAAGTATTTCAGGCTGCAGTTTTCGGTGTAGACGTTTGTTCTTCGTCCTTCGAGATAACATCTCCACGCTTTGAAGGCGATGACGATGGCAAGGGCCTCTTTGTCGTGTATTGGGTAGTTTAGTTCTGCTCCATGTAGTTTCTTGCTGAGGTAGGCGATTGGTTGCAGTCCATTCCCCTGGTCTTGCATCAAGACTGCTCCTACTGCCTGATCGCTGGCGTCAGCTTCGATTACGTAGTCGCGTTCGGGGTCTGGTAAGATGAGTACCGGTGCGGACGTGAGTGCTTGTTTCAGCTGCTCCACGGCTTCCTGGTGCTTCGGTTCCCATTTGTAGGGCGTGCTCTTCTTCAGCAGATTCGTGAGTGGTGCTGCGAGTTTTGCATACTGTGGCATGGACCTGTTGTAATAATTCGCGAAGCCTAGGAACTGCTGCAACTCCTTCACGTTCTCGGGTGTCTTCCACGTACGTACGACTTCGATTTTCTTGGGGTCGACGTGAACTCCTTGAGCGCTCACTATGTGTCCTAGGAACCGGACCTTCTCAAGGGCGAATTCGCTCTTGGACAGTTAGACGTAGAACCGTTCTCGTCGAAGAATTTCGAAGACGCGTTGCAGGTGTTTGACGTGCTGCTTCATGTCGCGCGAGTAGATGAGGATGTCATCCAGGTACACCACCACGCACTCGTCCAAAAGTGGTCGTAGAATGTGGTTCATTTCGGCTTGGAACGTTGCCGGTGCGTTGGTGAGTCCGAACGGCATTACCAAATACTCGTACGATCCATACCGAGTTCGGAAAGCAGTTTTGTGGATAGAGTTGTCCGCCATCCGTATCTGCCAGTATCCGGACCGCAGATCCAGTTTGGAAAATACTGTAGCTCCCCGAAGCTGATCAAGCAGGTCATCGATTCGCGGTATCGGATATTTATTCTTGATGGTCTGCTTGTTAAGAGCTCGGTAGTCGATGCACATGCGCAGGCTTCTGTCCGGTTTCGGTGTGGGGCATCGTATGGCGAAGTGGATGGTCGGATGAGTCCTTTGGCTAGGAGATACTCGATCTGTTTTTTCATGTCGGTTAGCTCCGTTTCTGGGCTGCATGTGGTTATCTCGGGGGAGGGTTTCGCCGATGGCTACGCCAACAGGGGGATGTACAGCTCTAGGAGGCGAGGAGCAAGGGGGCAGGTGGTGGAAATGAGAAGTCTTTCTTAGCTTATTTGGTGGGGTCTCTCAAGGCTGCTATCGGGGTGGCTCTCTAGTGGGCCCAGGCGCGGGTCATCTTGTTGCGTGCAGCTTCGATGTTGGGTGAGCCTGACATTGTGTGGGCGGAGCAGGTAGATGGCGAATGGGAGGACGAGTGGGGGGCTTCGTGGGTGGATGCGCCCCACTTGGTGCACCTGCGAGTTTTGGCTCTCGTGTTCGGCGCTTTCCCTGCGCCTTCTCGTTGCGTGCTTCATTTCCTTGCGTGCCTTGTGTTACGTTTTTTCCTTTGTTTCGCCCTTTCCCCCTTCCCGTGCCTTCCTTCCGGTATTACCGCCATGCCCACATGTTTCTGTACTCATTTTCCAAAGGACGCAGGCTTTAAAGCCCGAGTCTAGAATGGTAAAAAACCATGTTTACTGATCATGGAAACAGTGCCAAAAACACTGGACGAAGACAATTTAGGCACAGCTCCCCGTGCGAAAAATTCTTCTTAGCGAAAAAAATAGGGTCGCTCGCGACACAAAAGGAACCCAACAACTTGTAATCAACAGTGCGCAAACAGTGACAACTTTGGGGGTGGGGGGGCAAACTGTACAAAGCATTTCCCGCGCAGTGAGTCCCGGCAAAAAATGCGTCTAGAATGGTACCAGGCGTTCTCAATTTCAGTATGAGTGAACAGTACGTTCGAGGTTTGTGTCATGTAGCAAATTTCGCACGCTGCCCCATTTCCCCAGGTGTTGCGACGTGCTGGTCCTCTTCACTAGGTTACCCCAACTTTTACGAAAGCAGGTTCAGGAATCCTGAACTTGATAGCCAACCAATGTAGACTCGGGCTTTAAAAGCTGAAACCGAATTGTTTATTGAAGTGGCCAAAAGAACTTATGAAGTAGTAGACCGAGGGCGTGGGACATTGGTCGCCGGACCCCAAAATCCGAGCCGGACATCGAATTATGGCAGTACGAACCGCCCCTCGGCACGTAAGAACCCACCCACGAAAACCCCACTTTGGAGGTTCCACTTAGCCCATACTCCCGACGTTGTGGGCTAGCGGCTCGTACAGCGGTATTGGTGACACATGTTCCACTTCCGTTATGAATGTTGGCGGCGGTTTTTGGCGACGAGCGGAAGTCCTAAACGAGCTCTTGGAAAATTGTTACCATAAATGCATACCCATTTTGAAATTACGATTCGTAGGTTCGCACGCCCAGTCAACACACAGGCTCTAAGGGCGTGTCGGTTCACTAGATTCTGGCTTCATGTAAGAACTTCCAGTACGGACTGCGGGCTTGAACAGCTTGGGAATTGAGCATTGTTTTCGCGAAAACGGAACCTGGGAGCAGTTGGAACGCTCGCGAAATCACGGATCGCGCGCCCACTCCTCTGAAGGGCAACCCTTTCCCCAAACACGTCTGGGTTCACCATACACTATTGTTTCTATTGGGTGACACATTGTTTGAACGCGGCTAGAGCATGTTAGCGGGAAACTGCCGAACCCGGGCAAACGGGGCATTGAGTGGCAAAACCCACAGTAAATATTGTCACCTGGTTACAAATACTCGCTCATGCAATTTGCCCGTGCGGCCTCCAAACTCTGATTCTCGCAATTGTCGAAATACGACTTTACTAATCGCTATAGTTCAGACTGCAGCCAATCAAGTTCAGTGTCAACGCGAGTCATGCCGAGAACCTGGTACGTGGGACTGCAACCTAGACTGTTCGGAGTAAAACAATAAAGGAGGACAGGTGTACTAGCTAGCCACCACAGAACTTACGTCCTACAATTCACTAGCTAAGTCATGTGTCCGTTTAGGGGATTGGGAGATAGGTTTCAGGTCTAAATCTTTTGCCATGGCAAATGCCGTTTCGATTTCTTCTGCCGTTCTTCCTCCACCCTGTCTACTCACCTCTAAGACCTGCTATGCTTCGGTATCCGGAGCTCGCGTGTGCGTAGGCGCTGGTTCTCCTCCACGTACTTCGTCTGGTTCATTTTCTCAAAGACCTAGCCAGCGAAGAGCATTATCTGAGTCACGGTTACATAAAAGACGTGCGAATGTTGTCGTTTCGAGCGTCCCAGACGATTTTTCCTCGCTAACGGACGAGGATTGGCTGGCGAAGCTTCCAGACGAGTCATCCCCGCTATTCACGTGCAGCTTACCGTCGATCGAGGCGTGGCTCCGATCGTTAGGGTTTCAACAATCATCCGCGAAGCCCGAGTTCTGGCGTGTTGAGCGGAGCGATTGGCATGCGGAGCTGGTCACGGATGTGACTGATGTAGTTGTTCGGTGGGTGATGTGGTTGTGAATGGCTGACGTAGATCAAATTGTGCGAGAGACTGTGTGTGACGGAATACGGGTGTGACGGACGTGGTTGTCCGCATATAAATGTGTGAGACATTGTGCTTTTTTCTTTCTTTCTTTCTTTCTTTCTTTTTAAAAAAAAAATCGTGAGGGATGTGATGGATTTGGTTGTTCCGTGAGTGGTCGTATGCTGACTGCCTGTCTGACGTTTTTGGAGTCGTTGGGGAAGGGAACCCAAATAGTAGAGTACAGTACTCGTCCTGAGAAGACAAGATGATACCATTTGGTCAAAAAAGTGCCTTTGTGTGCTGCTTGAAGTCCTCTTATTTTAGAATAGCTTTGCTTGAGCGAGTCGTTTTGTCTGTGCATTGAGATGAACGCCATAACTTCCAGTTTCTGTTCCAGTTTCCAGAAACTTCAGGCTTCCCTGGAGCTCCACCTAAGCTGATTCTTCATTCTTCCTGGCTCCACCGCCTGTTTCATGGTCTGCTGTCACCACCAGGTATCTGAAGAGCGGTCCTGGCAATCTGGGCAGGGACATTGAGCGGAAGTTCAGCTACTCTCTCAGCAGAGAGGACGTGGAGAAAGCAATCCTTGACGGCCCTTGAGAGATTATGCTGGATTATTTGATAATCCGTTCAGATCCTTTAAGGTTTGTACTTTGGTGAGATGTTTCGTGATATCAGAGTTAACGAATGAGTAGAATGAGAGATACAAGGTGGGTGTGTACAAGTTTGTTATACCCTCTAAGAGCATGCACCTATCTAGCCTTTAATAACAGATACAAATATGTTTGACACACCCCCTAGTCTAGATGATGGGCTGTGCTTGACAAGAGACACGTAGCTCAGGGTGGCACTATTATCTCAGAGTAGAAAAGTTGGCTAAGGGGTATTGTCTAAGGGGTTGTACTCTCTAAGAGTACGTGTCAAATGTAACTTAGGTTGTTACTGTAGACTAAACTGGATTGTGCCTTAGTGGGTACAACACTCTAGTCTATATTGTTAAAAAGCTAGTCTAGGCTAGAATGCAGTAAATGTTAGAAACTAGAATTGAAGAGTATATTATCAAACAGTGAAATTGATGAATAGAGAGAGAGAGTACACAAACATATACCTAACAGTTGTACTCTCTAGAAGATGACCCTATACAGTCTATACAAGCATGATAACTAAACATGTTTGACACACCCCCTGGACTGCATAGGGGAATGTTCTAGACAAGCAGCTCAGGGTGGCACTACTAGTCCAGCCTCTGAGACAAGGGTCTAAAAGACCAGTCAGAAGGAGTACAGGCAAGGCAAGAACTAGTACAGGGCGGCACTACTAGTCCAACCACTGTAAGAGGACACAAGTCCAGTCTGAGTGTACACACAGATATATATAGGGCAGTACAAAGTCAAGGCCCGAGTAAGTGAGAGACTACAGGAACCAGACCAAGCTGTACACAGTGCCGCTGATGATCTTTAGGCGCAAGCGCCTTCGTAAAGATATCAGCTGTGTTGGCACCGGAGGCTAAGTGTACTACGCGAGCCTGGCGACGCTGCTGTAGCTCACGCAGGAGGAAGTACCGCAGCTGGATGTGCTTCGCTCTGCCCTCGAGTCGAGGCTCCTGACACAGGAGGATCATGGCCCTGTTGTCAGCGTACAGGACCGGGGCAGAGCTAGGCCGCTCACCTAAGTCAGTGAGCAAGAAGGTCAGCCAGCGGAGCTCCTGTGCCGCCATGGCACCGGCGTAGATCTCAGCCTCACAGCTGGACTGGGCAACAGACGAGGAGCGGGTAGCTCTCCACGAGACAGCACCTGAGCCAAGGCTAAAGCAGTAGCCCTGGGAAGACCTGAGCGTCTCGGCGTCGTCTGCCCAAGAAGCGTCTGTGTGTCCAGTAAGGACCACTGGCCTGCGTCCGCCTAGCACTAACCCCATGCCCGATGTACTTGCAAGATAACGCAAAACCCTCTTAGCGGCAGACCAGTGCTGAGGTCGGTGTCTGCCTGTGGCCACGAAACGAGCCAGGATGCTGAGAGGGTATGCGAGATCTGGGCGAGTGCAAGTCATCAGGTACATGAGGCAACCCACTAGCTCAGCGTAAGGACCACTGGGATCTACCGACTCCTCAGGAACTGGAGCGGAGAGTCTGTGGTCCAGAGGAAGAGGGGTGGGCTGTGCGGAGGAGAACTGAAGGCCGAACCTCTGAAGGACCTGGCGCACCAAGTGTGACTGAGTCAGGGTGATGGTGCGCGCGGCTCTGTCCCTGGAGATCTGCAAGCCAAGGTAACGGCGCAGCTCTCCAAGGTCAGTGCAGGTGTGTCTCTTCAGCAGCTCTGCCTTCACGGAGGCCAGTGCGTCCCTGTCAGCTGTGGCAAAGACCAGGTCGTCTACGTAGACAAGGATGTAGAACGGAGTCGGGCCAGCACGAACGAAGAGCGAGGGGTCTGCAGAGGACGGAAAGAACTGCAGGTCAGCAAGGGTAGCACGCAAAGTGTCGTGCCACTCACGAGGCGCCTGGCGCAGGCCGTAGACTGGCCGCCGCAGAAGCCACTGGGTCCCAGGGGGGAAGGTGCCAGTAAAGCCCTGAGGGCGACGCAGGTAGACCTGCTCGTGAAGGCTGCCCTGAAGAAAGGCAGTGGAGAAGTCGAGGGAGTGAAGCTCGTAGTCACGCTGAGCCGCTACGTGTAGCAGCACCCGAAGAGTAGTCATCTTCGGGGTAGGAGCGAAAGTCTGAAAGAAGTCCACCCCCTCGCGCTGACTGAAGCCTCTAGCCACGTAGCGCGCCTTGAACACAGGCGGCTCTCCAGGAGGGCGCTTCACCTTGAAGAGCCAACGGCCATCGACCACGTTCACCCCAGGTGGGGGAACTGCGTCGACGAAGGTGCCGGTGGATCTCCAAGATGCCATCTCCTGCTCCATGGCAGCTATCCACTGAGAGGCCCAGGGTCCCGAAACCGCCTCAGCGTAAGTACGAGGGGTCGGGATGTCGAAAGCGTCTGGGTCACCCTCAGGGACTAGCAGCATGGAACAGAGATGGGGAGCAGCCTCGGACAGGAAAGCAAGCTCAAACTGGCGGTCCTCCAGGACGTCACTGCCGAGGGCAGGAGCACCCCCGACAGACGGAGGACAGGCAGGGTGAGAGACCAGAGCGGTGGCGTAGTCAAGGCGGCGGGTAGAGGCGAAGTCAGCGACCGCAGCGACGAGGGCGTCAAGACTCGACACGGGAACAGACGGGTCGGTAACGAGAGAGGCAAGGACCCGAGGAACAAGAGGACGAGCGGCACGAAAGGAGTCGGACAGAGGAGGAGACGCAACGACAAGAGAAGACGGAGGGGGAGACGGGAGGAGGGGAGGTCGAGACGCGTGGGAACGGAGCAACATAGGGTGAGAGCGCGGGACAGGGGAGACAGGACGAGCACGAGAGGGGCGGCGAGACCAGACGTGTGAGGGCGGCGTCGGGTCAGGAGACAGAGGAGGGGACACAGGAGGGGAACGAGGGGGAAGACGAGCCGGGGACGAGTCTGGCAGAGGGAACACGGGGCCGTAGACGGGTAGAGGGGGAGACGGCAGGAGAGGAACAGGCGCAGGGTCAGGAGACGGAAGGCCGAGCAGACGGAGGGCGGACACAGGCGGGGACTGCTGCTGCGGCGACACAACACCAACACCAGGGCCACAAGCTGCGCGACGGCTACCTCCCGAACCCTCCACACCTGCACCCCCAGAAGGGACACCCCCAGAGTCCACAAACGGCGGCAGCGACGACGGCGGCGGCGGCGGCGGCGGCTGCAGCGACGGCTGCGACGGCGGCGGCGGCGGAGACGACGGCTGCAACGGCGGCGGCGGTGGAGACGACGGCTGCAGCAGCTGCGGCGACGGCGGCTGCGGAGGCGGTGGAGGAGGAGACACCGGGGGAGGGACAGACGGCGAGGACTGCGCCGGAGGACTACCAGAGTCAGAAGACTCGTCGACCGGGACGACCGACGGGAGGGGGGTGACGTGAGACACACCAGAGGGGGCCGGACGGGGGGGCGGGGGGGGGGGAGGGGCAGGGACCACCAGGGAGGGAGGAACCAGGAAAAGGGGGGGAGTAACCGGGGGACCACGGTGGGGAAAGCGGCGGTAGAAGGAGACGGACTCGTCAAAGGTGACGTCGCGAGAGTGAAAGAAGCGGTGAGACGGCGGGTGGTAGAAGTGCCAGTCGGACGCGTCAAGGGGGAAACCGAGGAAGACGCAGGGGAGGGTGCGGGCAGTGAGCTTGTCCGTGCCAGAGGCACGAACGTGAGCAAGGCAGCCCCAGACGCGGAACGCAGACGCGTCACCAGGGGACCCGGTCCACAGAAGGGTCGGCGAAACCTGCGGCCGCTGGGGGTGCGGCCACAGGTTAAGCTGGTGAGCGGCGTAGCGCACGGCGAACGGCCACAGAAAATGGGGTGCACCGGCGTGGATCATGGAGGTGCGAGCCACCTCCATGACCAAACCGATGCGTCGCTCAGCGACCCCATTCTGCTGCGGGGAGTCCGGCAGGGTAAACGTCTGGGTGATGCCCTCCGCACGACAGAAGCGACCAAGGACACCTGAGGCAAACTCGCCACCCCGGTCGGAGTGAAGGCGCAAGGCAGGGAGACCGCGGTGGACACGAGCAGAGACAAGCCAGGGGATGAGAACGTCAGGCACGTCGGCCTTCCGCTCCAGGGGGAAGACGGTGGTGTAGCGCGTGAAGTCGTCGACAAGCACTAGGAAGAAGCGCTCGCGACGCGGCCCATGGACCGGGGCTGGGCCCCAGACGTCCATGTGCAGAGTCTGCAGTGGTGCGGTGGTAGGGGGAAAAGAGGAGGAGTGAGGGGCACGGCGGAGCCGGCCCTCGACACAAGGCGTGCACGGTGGGGCGGGGGAGGAGGGAAACTCGGGGAACGAACCGGGGAGACCAAGGACGAGACCGTGCTGGGACATGTGACGCAGACGCGGGAGCGCAGGGTGACCTAGGCGGTGGTGCCAAAGGAGAGTCGGGTGAGTGAGGGACCGACAGGAGCAGGCAGCAGCAACCTGGGTAGACGCAGCCACCTGAGGGAGCGCTCCAGCCGGGGGGGTCACGGTGTCCAGAGTGAACAGGCCGGACACTGGGTCCCGGGGGAACGTGGACAGGGGGGCACCAGTGGCGGCCTCGGTACAGACAGCATACCGCTCGTGACCAGGGAACGTAGTGGTGACGCCAAGGTCCTGGAGGCAGCCGACACCAACTAGGTTCCTGGAGAACGAGGGGATATGCAGACCTGTGAGAGTGCCCGAAGGAACCGCCGGACAGGGAAGGGAGGTGGAACTGCGGGCAACGACGGGACCACCGGAGGGGTCAGCAAGAGTAACTGCAGCGGGAACAGGCAGCGGCGTCAGCGTCGTGGAGTCGCGGAAGAAACACCGGGAGGCGCCAGAGTCCAAGGTGAAGGAAAGCGCAGCAGTCGCGCGAGGCAGCAGTGAAGCGGTGGAAGCACCAAGGCTAAGCAAAGCAGGAGATCCTACGCCTGACGCAGCAGGGGAGTCTACGCTAGGCACCGCTACACTAGGCAACACGGGGTAATAAGAGGGAAGCACACTAGAGTCATCAGCATACATCACATGCAAGGCCGCTACAATGGCATCCATGTCCAAGTCAAAAATCCTAATGCTACGCCTAAGCAAGCTGTGCCAGTCCGGGAGGTCGGGCGCCGGGCCAAAGCGCTGGCGGAACAGGTCGTCCAGGCGACGAAAACAGCGAGGAGTAGAATGACCGATCTTACCGCAAACGAAGCCGCGGCGAGGACCGGTCTGGATCTGGTACTGACAGGGCCCGCCTCCAGAACCACCACCCGGTGCACCACCACGCGCACGACCACCACCAGCTCCAGGCCACCCAGGTGGGAGAGTACTCGCCTGCCTCGTCTGC